TTCCACCAGGCTTTATCAAACCAGCAAACCTGGCCCCCCACCCCCTTTTTTCCCCCAAATGATTTTCAGTTTTGTTCCACATTGTTCTCCTTCTCTATCTAGGATCTCCTACATAGATCCCCCTCTGAGTGGTTGCCAGTGGTAGCCGGGCACCATCTAGTTTTTTTAGTCTCATAGTTGTGTAGGCTGTGGATCGCATGGTGTGTCAGTTGCTTGGACTAATTGTTTCCATGAATATTTGGTTTTCTTCTTTGTTCTGGACGAGGAGAGACCCATAGTTGCATCTAGATGGCAGCTTGCAGGCTTTTAAAATCCCAGTCACTACTCGCCAAAGAAGGATATGGAACAATGTTTTGTGTAGTATGTTATGCCAGTTGAGCTTGATGTCCCTTGCAACTATGGTCCTGAGCCCACAGGTTCAACTACTTGCTCCCTCTGGGTAGCTGGCTGTAGCCAAGAAGTGGCTACAACGTTGTCCCTTGTCAGCTCTACTATACACCTGGGAATTCTTACAGAGCATACAAATACCCTTATAGAACCATTGTCTGCCAACCTTATACATGGTCTTGGGTACACTCCCTGCTGCATAGACATACCTAATAGTTCAGCCTGTCCACCTGTATACCCATGCTTGCCTTCACTGACAACGCAGTACTGTATGTGCAAAAGGGTTCTTCTTTGTTATCTGCACCTCCCATGTACCTCTCGGTGTCTTCTTCTTCAGTGCCACCAAGCTGATCACTCACATTTGGTACCTTGGCCTTCTCTTCACCCAAATCAATACTTATCTCTACCTATCTAACAGTGTTCCCTCCTCTCCCCTTCCCTCCCACCCCAGGTAACCAACAAAGAAAATCTCCTTCCATGTATATACCTTTCTTTGATTTTTACAATAACGGACTAATACAATATTTATCCTTCTGTGTTGTTGTTGTTAAGTGCCGTCGAGTCGTTTCCAACTCATAACGACCCCATGCACAGCAGAATGAAACAGTGCCCGATCCCACGCCAGCCCCACAATCCCTGCTATACTTGAGCCCATCATCACAGCCACCTTGTCAATCCATCTCGTTGAAGGCCTCCCCCTCTTTCATTGACCCTCCACCCTACCAAGCATGACATCCTTCTCCAGGGAGTGGTCCCTTCTTACAACATGACCAAAATAGGTGAGACGAAGTCTGGCCATTCTTGCTTCCAAGGAGCATTCTGGCTGCACTTCCTCCAGGACAGATCTGTTAGTTCTTTTAGCAGTCCATGGTACTTTCAGCATTCTCCACCAGCACCACAACTCAAAAGCATCAACTCTTCTTCGGTCTTCCTTATTCATTGTCCAGCTCTCACATGCATACGAGGCGATTGGAAATATCATGGCTTATGTCAGGCACACCTTAGTCCTCAAGGAGATATCCTTGCTCCTCAGCACTTGAAACAGTTCCTTTGCAGTTGACTTTCCCAATGCTACACGTCGTCTAATGTCCTTCTGCGGTTGACTTATTTCAGCATAATGTAAGTCTGGACTTTTTAAGAGCTTGAGTTCTGTTTGGCATTTTTATCCCATTCTTTCAGGGCCCATGAATGGTGGTCTTGATCCAAATAGTTGGTAGTGGTAGTTGGGCACCACCTAGTTCTGGTTTCAGGGTGGATGAGATCATGGCTCGGGTAGGCTGTTAACTCTATAAACTAGTCTGAGACTTTGGTTTCCTTTTTTCTCTTTTGCTCCTAATGAGTAGAGACCAATAGTTGTATCTTAAAATGGCAGCTCACAAGCTTTATTTTTTTTGTAGTTGTTGTTTACTTTTATTGTGGTGAAAACACACATAACAAGGCATTCATGAAAATAACAACTTCCACATTTACAGCTCAGGGACTTTGATGATATTTTTCATGTGGTGCCACCATTATTGCTCGCAGACTCTACTTACCTCACTAGGGTGCAGAACATGAACTTTGTGATGCTGATTGACTGAGTTGTCCTATGAGACCGAGGTCCTAAGCCTTCAAACCAAGAAAACTATTCTCGCAAGGTATTTGGCTATATCTGAGAAGTATCTGTCTTCTGTGGACATGTTGTTGTTGTTAGGTGCTGATGAGTTGGCCCCAATCTAGTGACCCTGTGTACAACAGAACAAAACACTGCCTGGTCCTGCGCCAGCCTCACAATCCTTGCTATACCTGAGTCCCGTGTTGCAGCCACTGGGTCAGCCCATCTCCTTGAGGGCCTTTCCCTTTCCCCTGACCCTCCACTTTATCAGGCATAATACCGTTCTCCAGAAAATGGTTCCTTCTGACAACATGACCAAAGTAGGTGAGACATAGCCTGGCCATTCTTGTTTCCATGGAACATTCTGGCTGCACTTCTTCCAGGACAGATTTGTTCGTTCTTCTGGCAGTCCATGGTACTTTCAATATTTTTCACCAACCCCTCAACTCAAAAGCATCAACTCTTCTTTGGTCCTCCTTATTCATTGTTCAGCTTTCACATGCATATGAGGCGATTGAAAACACCATGGCTTGGGTTAGGGCACCTTAGTCTTCAAAGAGACATCTTTGCTTCTTAACACTTTAAAGAGGTCTTTTGCAGCAGATTTGCTCAGCGCAATATGACAACATATGATTTCTTGACTGCTGCTTCCATTGGTGTTGATTGTGGAAACAAGTAATATGAAATCTTTGACAACGTCAATCTTCTCTTCATTTATTGTGATGGTGCTTATTGGTCCAGATGTGAGGATTTTTGTTTTCTTTATGTTGAGGTGTAATCCATACTGCAGTCTTTAATCTTCATCAGTAAGTGCTTCAGCTCATCTTGACATTCAGCAAGCAAAGTTATATTGTCTGCCTATAGCAGATTGTTAATGAGTCTTCCTCCAATCCTGATGCTGCTTTCTTCTTCATATAGTCCATCTTCTTGGATTATTTGCTCAGCATACAGATTGAATAAGTATGGTGAAAGAATACTACCCCAACACACTCCCTTCTTGATTGTAAACCGTGTGGTATCCTCTTGTTCTATATATATACATGTGCATATACATCTGTACATGTAGATTCTTCTATCAGTGCACACACATAACTGCCTATACACATATATGAAGAAGCTCTGGTGGCGCAGAGCCTAAGGCATTTGACTGCTAACCAGAAGATTGGCGGTTCAAACTCACCAGCAGCAATCCACTTCCATGAGGATTTACAGCTTTGGGAACCCAACGGGGGTTGCTGTGATTCAGCGTTGACTCGATGACTGTGGGTTTGGTTTTGGTTTGTATGCCTATACACCTCCTAGTGACTATACACTCATTTTTTGTTGGTTATTGTTGGTGTTGGTGTTTCTGTCCAATCATTTATACCATATTCTTTGGTTCAGACATCCTTTTCTCTTGTACACTTCTTAGTGGTATTGTTAACATCAGTCAAGTTGTGCTTGTTACAGCCATGTTCTGTGCTGTTCTTCCCAACACCAAAGCAACAAGTATCTATGATCTGGCTAGTGAGTCCTCTCCTATACAGATGGGATAGGGGACCCCACCTGCCTTGGCCTTCTGTTCATGTTGTAGCTTCTATTCGGAACATCCTCTGTTTTCCTCTGAACTGCATACATCCTCCAGGCCAAGGTCAAGTGCCCCTTCTCTGATGCCTTCCCTGATTTGGGTTGAGTGAATGTTCCCTCCTTTGTACTTTGTTCAACCTTTGGCCTGTGCTTAACCGCACCTCAGACTCATGTCCTTGGTTTGTCACCTGCCTTGGCCATGTGTGTGTCTAATGAGAAAGTAAGTTCCCTGCAGTAGTTACTTTCCCTGTCTCCTACAGGGGCTTGCAACTAGTGTCAAGTGACTTTTAGTTGTTAAATAAATTATATTAGTTTTTCAGTGGGCTGATGGTTATAGCACAGTTCATTGGCAGCTTGTGTGAAACAGGGTTCAACATCAGGTCTCTGATGAAGGCTTGCCGTTCCTCGTCACTTCTCTGCTCCTTCATTCCTTCACAAGCCCAGCCCCAAAAAAGTCCTACAGGGCTTGGGTACTGTTAGTGGTAAAGCTTTTTTGTTTGTTTGTTTCTCTCCCTATGGAGAGGAGGTGGGCAGGTTGACAAAAATGATAGTGATCTTCAAGAGGAGAGTTAGCCAATTGCATTCTGACCGTGATTTGCATTTGCGGGTAAGAGTCACCTTTGACTGAATAGCATGGAACGCTGCCTGGGGCGTGCCGTCCTTACAATTGTCTGTATGTGTCGACCTGTCCTTGTGGCTGTTGTGTAGTGCTTTCCGACTTAAGGGGCTCGTCTTCCCGCTCCATATCAGACAATATTCTGTTATAATCCATAGGTTTTCCTTGGCTAACTTTAGGAAGGAGATCACCAGGCCCTTCTTCCTGGTCTCTCTTGGTCTAGAAGCTGCTGAAACCTATCCGCCATGAGTGATCCTGCTGGTATTTGAAAGACTGGTGACATAGCATCCAGCCTCACAGCAACATGCAAGATGCCACAGTGCAGCACGTTAATAGACAGCTGTAACTGCTATGTTTAAGGGACTTGGGGTCGGGGTAGAGTCTGGGCAGTGATGATGGCATAAACCAAAGCCAAAACCAAACATAGGACAGAGACATTGATGAAAGGGTACTCACTCAGACCCTGTGTTAGGAAACCCTGCAGCTGTGCCTCACGAGCTCCTCCTGACTCTGTTTCAGGTCAGTTCCAGTCTCCATCTGTTAGCAGAGGAGCCTGGCACTGCCGGTGAGATTTGGGCCATCCCCAAGATAGCAACTCCTGTGCCCAAATTAGAGACTGGAGCCGAACGTCCAGCCCCAAAGCACGCGTGGCTCGAGCATTTGTACCCTGCTGACTTTGATGCCTTTGAAATCACTTTCAGGCGGTCACACTGGGGTGATTTTGAAAAGTGAAACCATTATTGAATGTCTGCTTTGCTTTTGTTGCGGGAACAAACTGTTAAAAAGAAAAGAAAATCCAGGTCTGAAGTACTGATTTGTCTCTTTCGGCTCTTCCAGGTTCCTTGCGTTGACTCCGTGGAGAGTCTATCACCTGCTCGCAGTCACGGTCCTTGGGCGTGTTATCATGCAAATAATTAAGGATATGGTTCTGTCGAGAATGAGAGGTAAGAAAACTCAGATTGTAGTTTATGGTATTTAATTCGCTAGACTCTGAAAGGCTGGTGTTTGTGTAGGCATATTAACCAGTCTGGTGGTGTGGTGGCGTAGTGCCTAAGGCATTTGACTGCTAACCAGAAGGCTGGTGGTTCAAACCCACAAGCCACTCCTCAGAAGGAAGGTTGGGCAATCTACTTCTGTAGTGATACCACCTTGGAAACCCAAGGCGGGGTTGCTATGAGTTGGATCCAACTCGACGGCAGTGCGTTTGGTTTTTTTGGTTTGGTCTATTGAAAGGAGCAAAATGACAGATTCCATAGGCACTGAGTGTGCTGGTATCCAAATAGTCATCTGGTTAAGAGACCAGTTGCTGGAGAAGGACGTCATACTTGGCAAAGTCGAAGGTCAGTAGGTGAGAGAGAGACCGTCAACAAGATGGACTGACACAGTGGCTGCAATGATGGGCTCAAGCCTAGCAAGGATTGTGAGGATGGTGCAGGACCAGGCAGCATTTCATTCTGTTCTATAACAGGGTCACTAGGAGTTGGAGCTAACTCAGCAGCACTTAACAAAACTGGTGTTGTCTGTAGTCACAGCTAGTGCTCCTGGGCAAAAGATTTGTATGCTGGCTTCTCTTTTGGCTACAAGCATTGTTCTTTTAAACATTGTTTTGAACTTGAAGTCAGCTGCGATGAGGGTGACGATTAGCCATTTATTTCATCCTTCACGATGACATGGGACCGTTAGAAAATGAGCTAATCCTGTTGTCATTGAGTTGACTCTGACTCATAGTGACCCTGGAGGGTAGAGTAGGTCTGCCCCGTAGGGTTTCCAAGGCCATAATCTTCATAGGAACAGACTGCCACGTCTTTCTCCCACGGACCTGGTGGTTATCAGCCAAGCACTAAACCACTGTGCCACCATGGCTCCTTGGAAAATGGGACTAGGTTATATAAAAATTTTCTCCGTCTCAATGAGGAAAAACAATGAATTATGGCTTAAAACATGTAATGCTAAATAAAATTTAAAAACTGAGTTGATGATGAAAAAGGAATTAGCTTTTTAAAGCTGATTTAAAAGGCTGATTTAAAAGGGAGACAGTTGTATTATCTTTCTATTTCCTTAGGGTGTTTTAGGTAATTTAAACTACATTATAGATCTGAGTCAAGCTTTCTTGTACTTGAAGGTGCCTCTTCAGTGCAGTTTTGAAAGCGTTTTATTCATGAGCAGAAAGCCCTCTTGGCAATCTGGATGTGAGAAGAATGATTTGGTGAAAAATACCCAGGCAGGGATTACAATGATGTTTTTCATTTCACTAGATTTTACCCCAAATAGAGGGATGGTTTTGGTTGAGGTCCATGTGGATTGGCGCGTGTAAGAACTGCCCCGTGTTCCAGAGCTGGCATCGGTACTGAGGCCATGTTAGGGAAGGCAGACACCCTGCCCCTCCCTGATGCTAACTCTAAGACCTGGCACATAAGCCGTTAGGGATCTACCATCCATGGCGATGTGTGGGTGTGCTGTCAGTCCTGTTTACATTATTATATTCTTTATAGTTGTTAAATGATTTAAATGTAAACCATTTGTAGATTTTTTTTTTTTTACAATATGGGGTTTATTAGGGAAGTAACAGATTACATACAATTCAGGATCAAGAATGGCTCAGAGTACAGTTCTTCAGTCAGGACAGCCTCTTCTCAGACAAGCCCAGAGGCAGGCCTCTCTCTGGCCCTCAGCCCCTGGCCTCTGCCCTGCTTGGTCAAGTGTTAAAAAGCTCTTTAGTGCTATCAGTCATTTGGTGGGAGTTATAAGAACGTGGCTAGAAAAGCCATATGAAAATGACCATCACACCACATAGCCACAGAAGTCACTTCTGCTGTAATCATAGGCCTACCTTTATTCAGGGCAATGGGTCATATAGGACATACCTTTTGATAGGACAAGTATGTGGGAGGGGAGATCTTTTTTAAAAAAATTGTGATTTGGGTGGAGGTTTACAGAGCAATTTCATCTTCCATACAGCAGTTCAACTCAACAGCAGCTAACAGCAACAACAACAGAAAATGTGAGGGAGTGGGCTAGAAGGGTCTCAGAGAAGGGAAGGGTGTTACAATTGAAATGCTAAGGCTGCAATTTAAAAATTTTTTTATTGTGATTTGGGTGAAAGTTTACAGAATAAATGCATTTTCCATGTAGCAGTTTATACACATTTTGTTTCATGACATTGACTGCAGTTCCCCACATTGTAACAGCTTTCTTTCTGCTTCTTCCCTGTAGTTACCTCTTCCCTGTGTCCTTCTCTCCCATGCATTCCTGCCCCCTGAACTATACTGCCTTTCTGTTCTCCCATGATTGATCGTTCTATTAGAATAGTATCTGCCTGATGTAAATGTTCACCCTGTGTGCCTGTCTATTGGTTGGCTGGAAGGCACAGGAGTGAGTTCGGTTCTGTACCTGAAGGGTAACTAAGATCCATAGTCTCAGGGGTCTCACCAGGCTCTATCAGACCTGTTCTTTTTTTTAAAATGAATTTGAGTTTTTTCCCACGTTGTTCTCCCACTTTATCCAGGATCTCCTATTTTGATCCTTTTTGAGTGGTTGACAGTGGTGGCAGGGCAGTTGTTTACACAGGTGAGTATCAGGGTTGGAAGGCACTCCCTTTGTTCCAGTGTTTTGGGAAGGTGAACAAGTTTCTTTCTGTCCAGTCATTGCCTTTATGTGTCTGTAGAGTGTACACTGTGGTGAACACACTCTCTCTCCTCTCCTTCTCTGCCCCCTTCTCTCCTCTCTTTCCCTGTCCCCCTAACCTCTCTATTTGTCCCTCGCCCCACTACCCTCTCCTTTCTGTTTCAGAATAAAGACACGTGAGACACGTGACACCCATAACTTTTTAACTTCACCAGCTCTCTCTCTCTTTTTTTAAATTGTAAAAAAAAAAAAAAAATATATATTATCTGTTAGTATTAGTGAACATATTCTCTAAAAATGTATGTAGTATATTTTGTCATCTGGGGGTAAAAAAGAAATATATATATATATATAACACAGTATTTGCCAGGTCATCATTTTTCAGGTCAACCTAACCAGCTCTTGCTACTTCGATACCTTCTATCTACCATAGGTGGCTAAGGCTGCCTCCAGGTGGATCTTCTCAGTAGATTAGGGTTTGGCAGAAGAGTTGGATTGGTACATAATGATCCTTGTGTTTCTGCTTTGAACCAAAGAGCCTGTGACTCCCAGGAGATTTTGTAAAGGTTTTCGCCCTCTGGGGTCTCCTTCTGGGGAATCATAGACAATATAGCCATTGGAAAATCAATTACAAAGTGATCAGCAATCATTTTAGCTCCTAGAGCTGGTGCACTCAGAAATGTAGTGGGATGTCTTGATACTTTGTTGTATCTCAAAATTTTGTCCCAATCTAGACACAAGTTATAAAGAACAGACAAATGAGAAATGCCAAGGAAGAAGTCTAAAGACTTCATAACTATCCTTTTTCACTTCTTGGCCCCTTAAACAGAGATTATTTCCATCATGACTCACTGGCTTGATATTTTTGCAAAATGTGGAAACTTCATATTCACAAGTTGCAGGAAACTGCTTGTTATGATGATTCGGTCTATTAAAAAACTACAATTTCCTCCATGAATAACTGCCTCTTCTGTTTGGCTACTGTTACTAAACATTTTTATCAAAGAATCTGTAGCAGAATCCTTATCAAAAGGGGGGAAAATGTAGAACAGAATTTCAAACTCTTATGGAATCCAGACTTTCTGGAATCATGGAGGCTACGTGGACCCCTGAAACTTGCCATAAGATAATCTTTAAATTTTTTTTTTTAAACTTTTATTGTGATTTGGGTGAATGTTTACAGAGCTAGTTCACTTGCCATACAGCAGCTCACATATACTTTGTCTCATGACATTGACTGCAATTTTCCACAATGCAGCAGGTCCCTTCTACTTCCTCCCCTTAGTTATGTTTTCCCTGTGTTCTTCCCTCCCATGCACTCCTGCCCCCGAGCTGTCTCCTTGTGCATACACAGCCCTTCAATTATCCCATGACTGATCTCTCCAAGGAGTGTATCTACCTAATGTAAATGTCCAGCTTATATGCCTGTCTTTTGTTTGGCTGGAAGCCACAGGAGTGGGTTCAATTCCAGACCTGAAGGGCAGCCAGGGGCCATAGTCATAGGGCTTTCACCAGCTCTACTATCATACCAGGAAACCTGCCCTTTTTTTTGTGATTTTAAGTTTTGTTCCACATTGTTCTCCCACTCTATCCAGGAACTCCTAAATAGATCCCCCTCAGAGTGGTTGACAGTGGTAGCTGGGCACCATGTGGTTCTTCTGGTCTCCTAGTCATATAGGCTGAGGATCACCTGGTATACCAGTCACCTGGACTAATTGTTTCCATGAATTTTTGGTTTTCTTCATTCTTCTTTGCTCTGGACGAAGAGAGACCCATCATTGCATCGATGGCTGCTTGCAAGCTTTTAAGATCCCACTCACTACTTGCCAAAGTAGGATGTGGAGCAAAGTTTTCGTGTAGTATGTTATACCAATTGAGTTTGATGTCCCCTGTGACTATGGTCCCAAGCCCACAGGTCCAGCTACTCTCTCCCTCTGGGTAGCTGGCTGTGGCCAAGAAGTGACTACAACCTTGTCCTTTGTCAGCTCTCCTATATATACCTGGGAATTCTTACAGAACATACCAATACATTTGTAGAAACATTATCTGCCAACCCTATACATGGTCTTGGCACACCCCCCCCCTGCATTTAAAAAAAAAAAAATTCATTGCTCTTGAGTCAGATCCGACTCATAGCAACCTCTCCTTGGGTTTCCGAGGCAGTATCACTATGGAACTAGATTGCCCAACCTTTCTCCTGAGGAGTGGCTGATGGGTTTGAACTACGAGCCTTCTGGTTAGCAGTGAATGCCTTAGGCACTAATAGTTCAGCCTGTCCATCCATCCATCCATCCACCCACCTGTATATCAATGTTTGGCT